ACCCGTACAAACGCCCCTCAGACGTCCCGTATTCATCCAGCAACTCAGTACACGACACACCCCATCAGCTATGACCAGGGCGCAGCCGTCATTTGTCACAGAATTTAGCTCACCCACGCGCCTGTGTCGGTACACGCGCAACTGCCTGCCACCCAGCAACGTACGGACCCAACCTCATCCGAAACGGCAATTAAGCCCGCAGCAGCGGCGACGGGTGCACGCGCGCTTTGCTTACCGGCGGTACTTGGATACGAAGTGCAGGTAGTCACGCCTGATGACGATGGTGTTGGTCATCTTGCCGGCGGAGATGACCAGGCCCTGGCGACAGACGGGGTGGAAAAAGCACGATTAATATGAGAACCGAACACGCTAAAATGCCAAACCAAAACTGTCGGGCCTGCAAGCATGTGCTATCCGCGGTGGTTGCTGGGCCGTTACAGACAAACGGATTAATCTTGGGAAAGCAGCAAATCGCTTGCAAATACTGCGCTCGCGGCCAAAACAGACAGACGGCAAGCAGTCTCTCTTGTTCCGTTGCCAAGAGCGAATCCCAGTTCATCTTCGTCACGTGTACACGTCTCCATGCTTGCGTGCGGTGCGAGCTCCGCGAGCCTGCCTACTCGAGCTACACAAGTCAACCACGGACGCCACAAAACGGCAACGAAATTCGCGCCAGCTTTCCGTACTCCCTCAGGGAAGGCTTTGTAAGTGATGCGGCTGTTTTTGGGTGAGCAACAGCCAAGAATCACAAAACACAATCGCTGCTGCCGGGGGTGGGGAGCTCGTTCCAAGCATGCACCAAGAGCAAGTTAGAATCAACGTTAAATCACCTTGAGGATGCGGCCGCGGATGGACACGTCGCCCGTGAAGGGGCACTTCTTGTCCACGTAGGTCCCTTCCCGCGCGGTCTTGGGGGTCTTGAAGCCGAGGCCGACGTTCTTCACGAACCGCATGCCCTTGGTCTGCGTCATCAGAGAGAAGAGGCGAGACGATAACAGAGAAATGATCAGGGGGCCACCAACAGCCAACAGATGGGTTGGAGGGCAGAAGAGCGGGCGACCCGACACACAAAATGCGCATAGAGTAATCCAATCAACCTCGTCTGCGGCCCTTTATCGAGAGAACCAACTAATGGACGAACAAAACCAATTAGACACCTGATGGAGGTTGTTCAATCGACAGCCGTGAACAAAGCAAGCACGTCAATATTTTCTCCCGAGAGCAAAGACGATAGCGTCCGTGAGCCGACGCGTGAGAGAGAGGTGCGAAGCGGAGCAACCTCGACCCCAACAAAGGAAGGAGGGCGGGGTGTTCGCACCTCCCTACACACCATGAATTATGAGGGGGGTGAGTTGGGGCAGGGGACAGCGTCGCCAACCTTACTCCGCAACACCAACTTGCATGAACAATGCGGGTGCCGCCATGGCAGGGTCAAGGGGAAAGGGCAGGAGATGGCACCAAGGCTCGGGAAAAAAGCACGTTGTCTTCAAACAGCCCAAAAGCTGATCTGAAACTCTAGTCCGTTTACTTCAATTCGTCATTGCCCTCCCTGCCTTCTGTTCTACACCCCCCGCTGTGTAACATGGTACCGCAAGCATCTCGTCTACGATAATTTTTGATGGAGAAACTGACCGGCAAAGCTATCACCACGTCAAGCTACTCTCGTACAAGAGCTGTCTTCCTACGCCACATCTTCCACAACAGCCAATGCATTACCTCCCCACTATGCAGCAAGGCCCAACGAGAGGTCAAGCAAGCCTCGCGGGTGGGGGAACGTCGAGGGCGGTGCTGCCGCACCAAGGCTCGGACGATAAGCACGTTGTCTTCAAACAGCCTCGAGGCTGATCTGAAACTCTAGTCCGTTTACTCTGTTTCTTCACAGCCTTGTTTTCTGTGGTTCACTTCCCTCAATACCGCAAAAACTGCGCCAATGAAGGGACCCAGCAAGCCAGCATCTCTTAAATCAGTGTTTGCACGCAACGAAACTACGCTCTGTCGTACATTCGAAAAACACTCTGCATCGTGTACCGATAGATAAAATCGATTCTCACAAAAAAAAAGAACGGTCCATTGGTACACGCCGCTCCAAAAGCTACGCCGATACAACGCACATGTGTTGCGTCCAAAAGGTATTCTACGTGTTAACAAAGCTACAGCTACGCTACCTGGGGCGCCGGGCGGAAGGGCTCGGACAAAAAGCACGCTGTCTTCAAACAGCCGAGAGGCTGATCTGAAACTCTAGTCCGTTAACTTCAGTTCGTCATGGCCCCCACTATTGCCCTCGGACGCTTCCACGTGAAAGACCTCCACTTTTGCCTTCGTCAGAACAATGAAGATTCAGATCAGCTTTTCTTCATGGCGAGACCTTACAACCAACAGCAATCGATACTGTTTCCGTAGATCCACCCCCCAACACTTACACGACCACATCAAAGTAAACCGCGCAGCGAAAACTCACAATGGGTGAGCCGGTGGGACTGGTTGAGGCACGCTGTCTTCCAGCAGCTTCAATCAGAGGCCGACGCAATAAAACACTGACATAGTACTGCTGTGGTTTGCTGGTGTCTTCTAGACACGCAATCGCTCGTCACATCAAAGGGGTTTCCGTCGCTGCAGCTCGGCAAACACCACGCCTTCTACCAAATTACGACATTTCGTTTTACCAGCAAATGGCGAAAAAAAAAAACGAGGAGGGTAACGGTCTGCAAAGGCTCGGACAGCCAAGGGTTGTATCTTCAGACTCAGCGTAAGCTGGTTTCAGAAACTCTAGTCCGTTTCATTTCGTCACCGCCAGCAGCCTTGTGCCCCAAATCAAACTCCGACCCAATGATCGTCTCTAATTCCGGTCACGGGTTGACGTCCGTGGATAAGATGCCACACCTCTATCCTTCCGAGCACCAACGCTACATCAGCGGAAGTGGTCTCGACGCAGCTGCGGAACTAATAAGGATATCAATCAACCTCCTATGGATAGGAGTAGACACAGGTGTACGAGGTTGGTGCAGAACGGCTGTGTAGGTTCCCTCGATGTGAAAAGCAGCACACAGCTACCAACTACAAGAAGGTGAACCTACTTGTCGGTAGACACGAAAAAAAAAAAGATAGTTTTCTTTTTTGGTGCAGTCGACTTTTCTCATTCGACGAGAAAGGATGAGCCTTCTGGCCACGGCTCTCGAATTTCGAAGCCGTAACAGGCCCGCATTGCTCGCCACAAAGAACGGCAGTGCCCGATGTGCATGTTTGTTCCAGATGTTATGAAAGAGCTTTGGCTGACCATTCGAGTTGAAGCAGTCTGGACTTGAACGGCAGCACTTGGCAGCTTGCGCTGGCAGATAGAAACCATTTTTCCGGACCGTTATACAACCGTCTAACGCGCTTGCTGCTTTTTAGCATGGTAGCGGGGATGCCCATCCCCAAGTTCCGACACGGGTTGAAATCACCAACACAGCATCGTTTCGGGAACAGGTTTACCAAACTACTGCCCTTCCCCTTTAAAACCAGCAAAGCAAGCTTTCTGCGCGGGGGCTTACCTTGGCGACCTTCTTGCCGAGAACACGCTTCGCTCCCACAAAGATAGCATCCTGCTTCTGGTACGCCTTCTCGTGCTGTGGTTGGGAAAGGAGTGGGCGCCAAGTACAGGCAACAGCGGCGGTTGTTCCGAGTTACTTTGTTGGGTCGGTTTCGACAGTCACCACTCATGCCACGAAAGGAGCCACAGACGAAAGAAATGGGTCAGAAATCAAAACGGTTGTCGTGTGATGGAGGCAGACACGCCCAAGTCGGACGTCGGACTGGCAAAATGGGTGACGTTATCCCAGATGATACACTAGTCGTAATGCACACGGCGGTGCAGCTGTGTACATGCCGGTGGTTCCGTTTCAGATTAGACCTTGCAGCGGATTAGTTACGTAGTTACGCAACGGATGGAAGGTCGGATACTGCTGAATAGTGTTGGACACAGAACAGAGAGCCAGCATCTTCCAATTGTCCACCTGCATCGCGAGTTCTATCCAGCAGTCAGTGCCACAGACATAACGCGCAGATTGTCGGAATGAGGGTGTGCCCCAGTGGCGGCGCAACCCACAGGCCCACGACTCATGACTACTGTGACAAAAAAGAGCAAGGAACAACTACGCATTGAAAAGCTGCTTTTGTCTCCATTCACCCAGCTAGCCCCCTTCGATTAGTGCTGCACGACGGTCTTAGGACGCTGGTTTGGACGCTCGTATGTCGCCGTCAGAGCGATACAGCGATACAGAGCACTACGCGACCCCACCGCGCGCTTCCCACGCCACATCGTTCAGAGGGCTACAAGTTGGGGGTTACATAATCCAAAACACGATGGCAGTGTGCAGAGAATCATAGAGCGGTATGAGCAACAACGAGCAAACCATCCACAAGAGCTGCGCTCGAGGCAGACCGTCCAAATGCCCGTGCTGCTCTCCCACGCCAAACACCACCCAAACCCCCTTGGCTGCGCAAGCGAGCCACCCAACTACACCAAAACGCACCTGTTCAGCCTCCCGGTAGTCCTGGAGTCCCATGGTGCCTTTTATCAACAAAACGAACACGGTATGCAAGGGACAACAGGGTTAATCAGAACAATCTTAATGCATGCAGCAGGCCAACCAACAAGGACCGCGTGAGCGATGCTCTCCGATCTGGGTGGGAGGGAGTGGGGTGGTCGGTCACACCACACACCACCTAGGTATCGATGGGTTGCCGTCACCCAATTTCTCTTGATCAGTCTAGCGGCAGAGCAATAACAAAGGCCTCACTCACTATCTACCCCTGAGGCAAGCGCATCATGCTCACCGGAGGTACAAGGAAGCGATGCCCTGTCAATGCCAGGCGCCCTACACACCACGGATCACGGCCATCCAGAAGCAACATTCACGGGGCAGTCACCCCCCCGTAATTACTTTAGAAATTTGCGGAACCCCCTAATTGTGCCGCATTTCGCGGATTTGCCTGAGCCAGCACTTAGCCCATCACGCTCATTGAATGCCGCGACACGTGGGCCCTGCCGCTAACGCTGTGTTTCTGGTGCTGCTCTGGTGTTGCCGTGTAGTTTTTTCCTTTCTGACCGTTCCGCACCTATCGTTTAAAATGAGTTCGGAGCAGAATGATGAAAACCCTTTCAACGAGTTTGCTCTCGGAGCATCGCCAGGTGGCACTGGGCCAAGCCCCGGGGTTGCAAGAGCCCGACCCGCAGCGGCCAGGGTAATCATAGACAGCCTTGACAGAAAGCCAGTCAAGAAAATGCGCACATCTACCGGCGCTAAGGGACAGACGACGGCGAAAGGCTTGGTGGAGAAGTACAGGTGAAAATGTGATTTGAGAACTTTCGACTGACAGGAATTCGCACGTACAGGGCGGGCGGGCTCTGTCATGTGTGTGCCGCACATGGGTGCTTTGAGCGACAAGCGTCCATCCGGCATGTAGCTAACCTCGTCACGGTCACCAGTAAACATCACCGACTAAAGTGTTCGATACTTTACTCTGTTGACTATGGAGCTGTGGAGCACACGCCATGCGGACAAATAGCGGCCGAGAACATTGCAGAGGCACCGCCGCCCACAGCTTTGCCAAGCAAGAAGAAACGCAGACACAGACATCCTCCCACACAGCTCTCCCCCCGCTGCTCTAAACCGCCGTCGATTTTCACACGGAAGCAGGTCCCCTGGAGAGCCCGAGTGGCCACTGAGGTTGATCATTATCGGCCATAACCCTAGCGAGAAGGCGTGGGAACTTGGTCATTACTACGGCAACCCATCCAACCGAATGTGGAAGTTGCTGTCCAGTGCGGGCATAATCCCTCCCGGCTTCACCGCTTCGAACGACGAGGATTGCCCCATCACGAGCGGCGTGGGCTTCACGGATGTGGTGTGTACATTGATGTATGCAGGGAGAGAATGGTGGAAAGTGTACAATGTGTTGAAAGTCCTTCTTCTATTCCACGTCGTCGGTGACCAACCAGGTTCCGTGACAGCCGAATGTCTTCTTCGATTTGTCGAGTTCTGACCGGAAGTACGAGGCGGGGCTTCCAACGAGTAGCGCTGATGCACGTATGCAAGGGGAAAGTTGGCAATAATTACCGTTTGCTTTGAAACAGGCATTGCTGCGCGCGTTTGATTTCCTCGCTCATTGTAACAACACACTAATCACCTCGACGTACAGCGAGTGTCGCTGATCGACAACTCAACACCCGCTCGCCAATTTCGTTTCACCAGGGCTTCTCGATTCCCGGCACCGTCTCCAGCGAGTTCGGCAAAAAAGAGCTGCATTCTTGGCGGAGAGGCTTTTACGACCGATTAATAGCCCACGCTGAGCGCGCGGCGGCCACGGTAGCCGCGTCAAAATCATCTCCAGCGGAACCGGTAACGGAGCGGGGGACAGATAGTACCTCCGCGGCGGGCAAGGGGGCTGACCAGGGAGTGTTAACGGCGACGACGATCAAGGCTGAGATCGAGAATGGTTATCCCAGGATCATTGCCTTCGCTGGAAAGCGCCAGGTACTACAACTGCGGTGCTCCCGTCAAAACTAGGTGTCGATGGTGGCAATACTCGAACGGTATGCAGTTTGTGCCTCAACCATGTCAACTACTATTCGTGTTTACTATTTACCATTGCAACAGAGACAGATCGGGCAGAGTTGAGCAAAGCTTTTGAGCCCTCCCACCACGGGAAAACACCCCGGGTCGTCCGTTATTCTTCGTTACGGTCTCCAAAATCAGAACAGCCCGTTGTCCGAACCCCCGTGTAAGAAGAGCTGCGGGTCAAAAAATGCTCCACATTTCTAAAATGCTCCGTTTTGTTTGCTTCCGACGAATCAGTGGGAGGAGCTGTTTTTCGACGCTAGCGCGAAGGACAAGGCCAAGACAAAGGGGGGCAAGACCGGCCCCTTTGGGTTCGGCTTGCAGCCGGCCGATCTGCGCCCGCCCGGCTGGCCGTTCCCCGCGGAGCGGACCGAGGTGTTTGTTGTACCGAGTAGCAGCGGCGCGGCCGCCATGACCAACGAAGCTCGCGAAACCCCGTATCGGGACCTCGGGCAGCACATGTGGAAATCGGGAGGATGGACACGTGGCCGTCGACAGCAAAGCGGCGGCGGAACTTCCTCTGGAGAGAATGGGGCGAAGGCGCCACCACCGCCGCAGCAGCGATAGAAACGGCATTACCAGCCACCCATCTAGTCAAGCACAGATTAGGCACGAGGAGGTCTCGCCGACCAGTATGAGAAGAGCTCCAATCTGCGGCATTGAGTATCGTGTGGTGATCCGTCACAGAGTTTTCGCTGATTCAGGAGTGGTGCGCCTTGTGCGTGCAGCTTTGACTCGAGACCTGGCTCTGTTTTGAGGGGTAGGCCGCGGTGGCAAAAGTGGCGCACCGCAGCACGCACACACACGGTGGACACACGTGTACGCGGAGTTTCGCGTCAAGGTAGGCTCTCCGAAAAGTAATTTAATGGTGTCCGTGAACCAACTATTTGATTGTATATTTGATTGTACAGTACTTTTTTTTCTGGTGTGGCTTGAGGAGTCTCGAACGATAGTCGACCATTCTGTAATCGGCCGGTCATTAGTAGTGCGTCGTGTAACTAAAAGCGTAGGAAGTAAAGAAGGGTAGACTTAGAAGCCGAAGAGGTAGGAGCGGAAGTGGCGATCAGTACGTAGAATATGGTCGATGAAATCGTGGACAAAAGAAAAAAGAAACACAGAGGCCTTGGCTATAACGCTCAGTGGGTCAAACGAAGAGTTAAAATGGTTGTTTGCCTGGCCTCCGCGTTGCGTTTCTCCCGTTTCCGCCTGCCTGCAGGATGCACGCTCTTGGGCGCGACTACCTTCTAGTCTGAGGACTCATTATCCACCACATCAAAAGGCATTAACTAAACCGGAGGGAGCAAGAACAAAGGACACCGCAAGGGGCGGAGATATGGCACCTTCCCTGGAGCGACTTTCAAAGCGACTTTCAAAGTTCGATTGCTCAACAACCAAGCTTGTACTGACACCAAGATTGTTCGATATGGAACAATCTCGTCGAGGGTTTTCCGTAGACGTATCGGACTCTTTCCGCATCCCCTTGGTTGTGTAGCAATCGCATCAAGCTTTGAAAGTCGCTCTAGGGGGGGTGCCGTCTCTCCGCCTCTTGCGGTAGGTCGATTTCATATACGTGCGTGTCATTTGGGGAACGAAAAGGAGAAGAGGGGACATGCCCCTTCGCGTACTCAACTATCTGCTCCCATTTTTGTAGACGATGACCACACGCTAGCTTGATCTCGAGCACGCCTCGATTGGGGGCGCGCAATTAAAACGGAAGGAGCCATATCAAAGGAATTTCCAAAGGTACTTCACATATCAAGACGAAAACTCCAAGCGTCCAGCCTGCCAACTCTAGCACCACTTACGTGGTCCACCGACAGCTACATTACTCAAGATTCCAGTGACGCAACCAACGACTGACCATATCCACAAATTGATGTCGGCAACAAGCACGCATGAACCACAGTATGTCACATCACAGACAAAAGAACTTCAAATTGTCGGGACATGACAAAAAATCGAAGCACGACGTGCTTACCGGCAACACACGAAACGAAAATACACAGCAAGAGCACATCTCAACTCAATATGTTCATACAAGAGTAGCCCCGGGAAGCCACCACGGACTCTCAATCCCGAAGCAGACGGCGTGCCACAAATGTTTTTCTCTCTACCACCACACCACAACATCGGGCAGCAGCAGCAGCAGCAGATGGTACGCAGCAGCGCTCCCGATTCTAAAAAAACTGAAAGAAAAAACAGGCATCAAAAACACAGTAGGAGCACCAGCAGCCAGCAAGCTGCAATGCACCCGACCCTATGCCACCGCCTTGAGCACCTCCTCATACACGACGAACGTGATGGCGGAGGCGGGCGCGGCTCTCACGGCGTGCGCCACACAACCCTTGAAGAACCCCCTGACACCCTCTTTTCTGCCGATCTCGGACGCGCAATGCAACGTCCCCCGATATCGGGAGAATCCCGCCTGGGTCTCCTCCGCGGTGCCCCGCTGCTGCAGCCTCGACTTGATGACCTTTTCGGAAAGGTTTGATCAAAGGGCAGGTTGGTCGGACAATGGGCGAAACAAAAGCAGCAACGTCGGGTCGTCGGAACGAAACGGTCAGAAAGCGTAGGCGCTTTCCACATAATTGGTGCCGTTGACCGGTCTCCTCATCATAGAGTGATACATACCGCCGGGCAATGGAGGACTCTTGTGTGCATTTCACTGCCGGCGGTGCCAATAATTTAGGAACGAAGGCGATGGTGCGGTGGGGCTGCAAAATCAATGAAAGGTGCCCACAGATGCACGTCGTGGTGCGCAGTCTGGAAGCGACGTGCTTACCTGGGTAGGGTAGGTCACAAGGGTAGACAAAATCTTGGACGCACCTCCCATCAAGAGCGACTCCTGCGGCGTCTGGGGGGAAAGGCAAGCCGAGCGAGAAACATGCAGAGTGGGGGGTACAGGACAGCCAGCGAGGGCAAACTCCAGTGCTTATAGTTTCTTCGATGCATCTCTCTCAGATGCCAAACATTACTCACACGCATCCCTCGCTACACAGACATGCATGGCTTGCGAGGACGAGCAGGCACGGCATCTGTTCGCAAAAAAAAATTCTGCGGACAAACACGATCGGAGAAGTTTACAGGGGACAGACAACAGCAGTTGCAAGGGACGCTCGTGCTTGCCGCTGCCAATGTACCACCAACGAGCCATGTGCATCACGATGCACCGTTTCAGCGAAACGATTAAGTCGGCACAGGGCTACCTCACACGTAGGAACCGTGCACTCAATTTCTTCGAGCCATAGCATTTCGACGCCAAAGTAAAACGCGGCGAAACACAATAAAATGGGTAACGTATTTATCGTATCAAGTTACATTTTCGTTTCGCTTCGGCACCCTCGCTTTCAACCACTCGTACACAGCGAACTGCACCGCTCCTTGGCCGCACAGCATCAGCGCTGGCACCGCTCCCTTGTAAAGCGCCAGCGGCCCCTCTTCGCGCGTTATTGTTCGTACCGCATCTGCGTTTCGTAAAGGTAGGATGGTATCAGGTGGTGAGCAGACCGCGCTTTGCAGGAACCACACGATCACATCATGACACGACGAACAGAAACACTGGCATCCTTCTCAGGAGCTTGGGGGCAACTTTGCTAAGCAAAACCTGCACCAGGTGCGATTATTTTGTTGTCATCCAATTCTCTCGGTGTGCCGCCGGTGGTTGCAGATGGCGCACAGGATTCCAGAAGCACCACCCTAACACATAATCCAACACAACGTGGTGCACTGGAGGCACGCAAGCACACACCCATCAGTCCCGAGTAAGGACGAACCCCCCCGCTCTCAGCCTTCTTGTCCTGCAGCTGCATCCTGGTCTTGATCATCCACACGGGGTTGGTGGCCAACACCATCATCGCCCCTGCGACGTATCCCGCCCCGAGGTGGTGAACCGCCCCTAGATCAGCCTCTTGTGGTACTCTAGCGCGGAATACGTTCTGCACGCACGCACGTTGGTACAAATCAGAACGGCGCGCGAAGGGTGTGGGGGGGGGGG